GCGACCGGAAGGGGAGCATCGAAATAGGTCGAGCTGCGGTTATCCGCCTCAAGCATCTGATGGGAAGATTCAAGTTACCGGTACATTATTATTATTAGTTTAATTATTAATTATTATTATTATTATTATTTTGTCATCTTTTGTTTTATTTACATAACCTAGGCATCAGGTCATTTTACCTCCAATTTGTAATAACCGAACCTGATGCAAAAACTTTTTCATTTGTTTTGTATTCAATAAGTTTGAAAAAGTTTTTTTTTTTTTGTAAAAGAGGAGAGCAACTATTACATTACTAAAGAGAGATTCCATTTAGACTTTTCTTTAAACATATGAATCCTTAACTAATCGTCTTTCCAACAAGAACTTTTAAAAAAAGTAAAGGCCTAAAGGTCATTTAATGAAAATGGGGAAGAACTCTAACCATCTAACAATAAAAGATGTAGAAATTAAAAAGAAACAGAGAGAAAAAAAAAACAATAAGTACAAGATTTTCTATCAATGCAAATTTAACAATAATCCTCTTTATATATTGTACAGAAGCCTCTATTTGCATTGAACTCTTCATGAACAACTAAGTGAAAAGCGCATTTGAGGTTTTCAACTTTGAACTTAGTTTAAAAATTCAGAGAAAAATAATATATATCTCCTAAGCTTACCCTGTCATGCCAGTAATGTGGAAATGTGACTTGGCCAACGAACATGATCCTTCTTGTAGCTCTGCAATAAAGCTCATTTTCCTTAGTTAACAAGGAAATGAAACAGCCCTATGACAGGCAGAGAGATAGAGGTATTCCATCTTCGCCGGCGACGGACACAAAATATCTTCTTGTCTTGAAAATTCTGCTTTTCTTTCTTTCTCTAAAAACCATTGCTTTGTTCTTTGTTTTTTAGTTGTTGTAGTATTTTCCATTTTCTTTTTTCCTTTTTTTTACCCTGTACATTTTTTTTTCTAATTAATCTCTATGAGGTGTGAACATGATCAGACTACAATTCATCTTTTTTTCTGTGGCGAGATCAGCTATTTTGAACTCTATGGTCCGCTGGGACGCTGTTTTTCCATCGACGGTGTTTCGAAGAGATAAAAAAAGAGAGAGAATCATATATTTTCCTGCTCGCACTAAACCTTTTTTTTTTCCTTTCTTTCCTTCTTCAAAATGACAAACCCCGTCACAAGTTGTACAGCAACCTGAACACTGTCTCGATGGATGCAAACACTTCTTTCACGTACACAAAAACTTAAATGGCTAGCCACAGTTGTCTGTGTGTGTATATATATTTATATATAAATACCAACTTCCGAGTCACTGTGACATGCAATAACAATAGTATGTCATTTACCACTGCAGTAAAGCTTGTATTTTTTTTTTAAAGTTTTGTTATTATATGAAGGCTTGGTGCCAAGTCGTAGTCGGAGGCGAAATGGCACTCCGGGGATTAAAACGAAGATAAGTAGCAAGTAGCACGGGCGTATATAGCTACATAGACTTCTTCCAGACGGGTTTCCAGCGGGGCTCGCAGAGGGGGCTCGCAGAGGGGGCCCTCCGGCGGCCGTGATCCCGGGGACACAAATGACAGAGTACTAGGACCGTGCCGAAGGAGCCAGGGTTCGGATGCATTGTGAGATCGAGGACGAAGGTGGTGGTGGAGGTGGAGGTGGAGGTGGTTGGTGGTTGTGGTGGAAAAGGTGGTGGTTGTGGTGGAGAGAGGAGGAACAGGGAGGAGGAGGAGGAGGAAGTCCCATCCTTTTTTTTTATGCATGTGTGTGTATGTCGAGTTCCTCAAGGCTTTGGAGGAGTCTTGGGGTCTGGTGGTGGGGTGCCGCGCCTCCTCACTCGAGCTCTCTAGAAGGATGAGGAGAGGGGCGCGGGGGATGGTGGGGGTGCGAGGCGGGGTTGTGGAGAGGAGGAGGTGAAAGGGGAGTGGTGGTGGTGGTAGTGGTGGTGAAGATGGAGCAGAAGTGGTGGCGGACACTGGCGGAGTGGGCTGCCAGCATTCACCGTGGTGGCGGAGACGACCCGAGCTCTGGTGGTGTTTTTTAATGTTGGAAATGGTGGTGGTGGTGGTGGTGGTGGTGGTAGTGGTAAAACAGCAGTGACCGCGGTTGCGTGACCACACGTGGCCGCACCGCAGTGGAGGAAGAATAACCACCAAGCCAGTCTCCATGGTTGTAAAATGACAACTAAACTGCGACTCACAACTTATCTGCGAGGAACAAAGCAAAGAGAACCAAGGTGAGTTATATGCGCACTTAAAATAGATTCATACACAGCCATTCGCACAGAGAATTCCGAAGGCGAAAGACTAATATTGAAACAGCTGACATTTTAGACTACAAACCCTCCTGTTCCCTTCTAAATTTATTTTACCAATTACCATTTCCAAAAAAAATAATCTCAAATCCCCTCTAAAATATATAAAACCCATAAACAACAAAAAGACAAAAAAAACACAAGACCTCCAGTGATTTATAAAGCAAAATCAAACTGACTTATCCATTTAAAAATAATCCATGACGGATATATTCCACACAACAGAGCCACGCCCACGACATGTGTGAAACGTTTAAAGAGTACACACAGACGGGGGCGCGAATAAACTACTTAATGAGATGAATGATAAATGGCCGACCGTTAGCAAGGCCCGTGCAAACACAACGCGGCATAAACGTTCTTAGCCTTAAACGCTCTCGGCCATAAACGTTCTCGGTCTTAAACGTTCTCAGCCAGGAATGTTCTCGGTCTTAAACGTTCTCAGCCTAAAACGTTCTTAGCCTCAAACGTGTTCTTAGCCTTAAACGTTCTTCCTCCTTAGCATCAACGTTCTTAATCTTAAACGTTCTTAACCTTAAACGTTCTCAGCCATAAACGTTCATACGTACCATGATCTATTCCTCAGTGATATCCATTCGCGTAGGCGGCTATGAGGGGCCCCTGGAAAGACAAACAAGGACATGGGTTGACTTACAGAGCGCCGTGTCAGAAGCACACTTGACATAAGGAGGGTGGGTGGGGTGGGGGGAGGAAAGAGGGGTGGGGTGGGGGGGGGGAGGAGAGAGGGGTGGGGTTGGGGGGGAGGGGGGGTGGGTGGGGGGAGGAGAGAGGGTGGGGTGGGGTGAGGGGGAGAGAGAGGGTGGGGTGGGGTGAGGGGGAGGAAGAGGGGTGGTGGGGGGATAGGGAGAGGGAAGGAATGGGGGAGAGAGGAGGATGGGGAAAGATGGTAGGAGAAGGAAAGGGAAAGGGAAAAATGGAAAAAGGGGGATAAGAAATGAGGATAAGGAGGATGGGGAATTGAATGGAAAGGGAAGAAGAATAGGGACAAGCGGCAAGGGAGAAAGGAGAAGAAAGGGGAAGAGGAGGATAAGAATAAATCAGAAGGAATGGGAAAATGGGGAATGAAGCAAAATACAAAACAGAGAATAAAGAAAACAGAAAATAAGAGACAAAAGGAGAAAAGAAGAAGATGAGAGGGGAAAGTCAAGAAAAAGGAGAAGAAAGCAAATTATATAAAGAAGGGGAAAAGAAAAGAAAAAGAAAAAAAAAAACGAAACAAAGACACATAATAATTCACAACAAGGGAAGGAGAAGAACAGATAGGGTCGAAGGAAAGAAAATACACAAAATAAAGGATAAAGGAAGAGGAGAGATAAGAACAGGGAAGGATTAATAGCTTGGATCAGAAGCATCTTTCAAGAATATTTAATTATCAAGAATATATCACACTATCAATAAGACACAATCAATGAAGTCAATAATTAGAGAAAAATATATATATGTAAGATAAAAAAAAAAAAAAAAAAAAAAAAGTGAAATAACATTAAAAAATAATAAATAAATAAAAATATCGTAAATCTTAAACTCTTATCATGCAAATCGACTGAAATAATGATAAAAAGTTCGCATAAAAAATAATAAATAAATAAAATAATGAAATCTCAAAAAATGCATTAAAAAAATAAACCCCAGGACTGGCTATATCAATAATAC